CACCCAGCTCCCTGCTTATGGGCTTGGGAAAGCAGCTGAGGATGGCCCAAGGCCTTGGCACTTTGCACCCGTGTGGGAGACCCAGAGGAGGCTTCGAGCTCCTGGCTTTGGATCGGTACAGCTCTTACCGTTGCAGATATTTTGGGGAGTGAATCAATGGATGGAAGATCTTTCTGTCTTTCCTTTTCTCTGTATATCTGTTTTTCCAATAAAAATAAAATAAATCTTAAAAAAAATAAATGAAAAGTAAATAAAACCTTCTGGAACCACACATCAAAGATTGTTTCACTGTATATTAGTAATGAAAAAAAAAGGAAAACAAATAAATTCAGTACTGAAAATATGTGAAAATCAGAACAAAAAATCCAGTGTTAAGAGATTATTTTTCTTTTGCAGGTGAAGTTGGTGGATGTTCACGATGATGACCTTACAGACAAGAAGCTTAAACTAACCCTGAGCCTCATCTGGACAGTTCTTTCATACTTCTGCATAAGGATTCTGTGAGTGCATTTCCATCTGGTATGTTTGGATATAACCTAGAAAGTCACAGTGCCTTTGCCAGGCACAACTAGACATTCCTTTTGTGTTTGGCAGTGATCAAGGGTGAGTGGGAGCTGAAAAAGGGCCATAGGTTTAGCTTGGAGATGGACTGTGGCATCCTACACTCACAACCTATGGTTCTTTGCATGAGGGGATGGGAGGGTTTTTCACTTGATTATGGCTTGACCATGTGGCTGACAGTCTGGGTGTTAGAAGTCTGTTTGCAGTTTGTGTGTGACACTTGGACCTTGATAGGTTGCCTTTAAATGACAAAGCAGATGAAGTGGCATTATTTGTCTCTAATGATCTCACCAGCCTGGTAAATTGCAACACTGTAGCAGCATAGCTAACAGGGTTATAGTTGTGCTGGTAAGCCCAGTGTTATAACAATGGCCTCTGATAGAGGTTCATGTGGTCATTCGTGCTTCCTGTTGCCTCTCTCCTCCCTCTTCCCAAAAAGCCAATCCCTTTAAAGTCTGGATTACTGTTGAAATGAAACACACCTGTTTGTACAGATGCAGTTCTTTCAAGCAACGTTTAGCTCAACATAACAAGCTATTCATCAGACAGTACTTGCTACAAGGTACGCTTCTTGGGCAGAGGAAGAGCTCCTTCAGAATGTGGGAAAAGGTGGCTAGTGAAGCATTCAAGGCACTGACTCCACAGTGAGGTCAGTGTGTAGAGTTAACATCACTTGCTGACCAAAGGTAGAACAGCAAATATGCTGGATTCCTTAACAGAAAATCAGAGCATAGGTTTTCTTTCTTCATTCTTTCCTTCCTTTCTTCCTGTTTCTGACTTTTTTTTCTCTTCTCTTCTCTTCTCTTCTCTTCTCTTCTCTTCTCTTCTCTTCTCTTCTTTCTCTTCTCTATTCTTTCTTTCTTTTTCTTTGTTTTACTTTTTCTTTTCATCCCCTCACCCCCCGGTTTGGATTCAGATCTGGAAATCTCCAACATGAGCAAGTTGGGAATATATGGTGGTAACATATGCTTTTATTTTTGTAACTTATTTTTTACTTTTTAAATTTTATGATCCAGTTCTGCAGGCAAAGTGTTTTGGCAGAACACAGGGTGATCTTTGCAAGAGTTAGGTATAGGAATAACAAGGAACATGAGCTTGATGAGCTTGCCCTTGATGGTGGGAATAAGAATTGGTTCAGTATTTCTAAGACCAGAGTTACTTTCTTGGAATCCTTTTGGACAGGGAAGGAGTTAAGGAAAGCTTTTGCCATGAACTTGCCCTGGCTAAATGCCCAGTATTAGAATAGTAAGCATGAGAGAGAATCAAGTTAGCCAAACAGAGTGAGGACATATTTAAACAGATGGAGAAACATTACCCAGTGTGAAGCAGAAAAGGCACAATTCAGGAACTAGGAGAGGGTAGAATGACAGCAGAGGGGTACCTGGAGAATGACAGACACACAGAAGCAGTGGACACAATGGTGTGGTGTTGCAGTGACTAAAACTGCAGCAGCATTCAGCGAACAGTGACATTAATTCTACCTGCAGCCAGAACTCCACCAGCAACCACATGGGTAGGATGTTCTCCAGGAGCCCCGGAGGTGAACACAGACAGAGAACTGCCTATCCTACTGGTCTGCTTGATTTGGCCAGAAGCAAACACAAAGCGGCGGGTCCAAGGGGAGTGTGGGAATAGGTTGGGTTTCACAGCCTAGTCCACTTACTATGGTCAAATTTGCACCATTTTAAGGAAACAAAGGCTATGGGACAGTACTGCACATGCCCTGACTGAGAGTGAACTCATTTCAGATTCAGTGAACTGCAACAGTGTGGCATCCTACAGGTTCAACCCCAGAGAGAACTGACAGCCAGCAGAACACTAGTAGTGACATATCAGATGCAATTTTGTAAGGTGTGATAAAGGCTTCAAGACTGCAGGGACAACATATGAGCTGAGTTGGGAGCGACTCAGTTCTGTACACTGCACTGGTCCTACAGGAAGATAATACTGAATTTGGCATAGTACTGGTCAAAATATGTTTGTGTGAAGCTCAGACCTAATGGCCCACAGGTTCTGGCAAGACCAGCACCATCAACTACCTAGCTATATAGGACACTTGGTAATCTCCCTAATCCTGGGACCTGCTCAAAGCAGGTGCAGGATTGTACAATGGTGCAGCCTCAGCAAGGTATCACAGGAGGTGGAAACTACTGAGTCTGGAATGGGGCTATAGAGATCAGGTGGAAATCTAACATAAGAACCCAGACCTGGAACTCGCTAGAGGAAGCGGCACAAGCGATTGTAAACAAAGAGCCATGTATCAACTGCAATAAATAAAATCAAACTCTAGACCTGTGTGTGACACAGCTTGGAAACCTGCCCCAAGGAGAAGAATCTGCTAACCAGAAGGACAATGACCAAGAGCTAAAGAAGAGACAGAGGCACAATGCATATTCCTGAACACTCCCCTGCAAAGCAACAAAACTCTAGGCCAACCTCAGAGTAAACTGAGGAAGACATTGATAAAATGGGAGCTACAGAATTCAAAACACTTGTTATAAAGCTTCTTATCCATAATGAGAAGCACATGAAGCAGGTGTTCAAGGACTTTAAGGAATATGTCACACTGGAAATGAATCAAATGAAAGCTGATACATTCGAAAGGAAGAATACAGTGGAGCATACTAAAAGTACAGTGGAGATTGGAGAGTCTCCAAAACAGAGTGAAAGAGGCAGAAGTAAGATTTTCAAAATTAGAAGATATTTCCTGTCATCAGGGGGAAACAAACAAAAAGCTGGAAGCAAAGCTGGATCAAGCAAAAAATAAATTTATATATTCAAGAATTGAAAGACACTATTAAGAGGCCAACTGTATCATAAATTGACAATAATAATAATAAATGAATGCTTCATTAAAATTATCAAATATTTGAGCAGTGTTAAACAATTATATTGTTTAGATATAATAGTAGCATTGTTGTATTTGATGATCCAAGCAAGGTCCACACATTACACTAAACTTATGTCCTTCCATGGACCTGCAGTTCTGCAAGCCGTCATGCCTTTTTCTTTTTTCAATTTAAACTTTTATTCATGATAACATTAAAACAGATTTAACTGCAAAAAAAAAAGAAAAGAAAAGAAAAGAAAAAACCTGAACTTAGAATACTGTATAAGATTTTTAAAGTAAAAGTGACCAACAGTTTAGGTACAGACATTATTATAACACCTACATCTTGGTATCATATATACTTAACATACTAAGTATATGCAACAATAAAATAACCCCCCTATCTTGAACACTACAAAGAGGCATTTTTCATCTTATTCATTGCAAGGCTCATACACCCACAACAGAATTTCATAATCTGTTCACAAGTCAAGAGATAAAGCTAAACAATGCATTAATCTTTTAGAAATGTCTATGAACCAGTACAATTTTCCTCTTGAGTTTCATAGGCCAAGAACTATGAGGAAATGCTTAAAGGCTTCATAGGACCCAGCAGCAAGGAAGTTAAATGAGAAAAGATCAAGAAAACACACCATGTATCTGCCAGCTCAACCACAGCAGGGTGAGCACTCAACTTGGGAAAAGTCAGGCCACACCTAATTACAACAGGTACCTGAGCAAGTGCTTCTGGGCAACGTTTTTTTCTCCGACCAAAGGGTTTGGACATTTAAGGGAATCCAAACAGCCCATAATGAGATGATTTAGAAAACAGTAATAAGTATTAATTACAAAAATGTCTACAATTGGTGATACCACCTGGCAGCATGGATGATAATGTGAAATATAAAAAGGAAAACTAGGTAAATTGTTACTTTAGGACCTGAAGCATACAGAATGCTGAGTCCATCACTTGACACGCCATTCTTATCACGTTTCTAATGTAAATTTTGGTCTGTCTACAGTCTGGCAGCTACTATGCCAGGTTCTCTGGGCACATTGATTCATGGCAAGGGTGTCCCTGTTACATCTTTACACATAGTTAAAGATGGCCTGATAAACCAAAGGGAAAACTGTCTCCAAAAAGCAGATGTTCTGATGGAGGGTTCTTGTAGATAAATATTTCTGAGGCTCATGTTTTCCTGAAGAACACATCTACCCAATACACACATATCAATGCACACTTTTGACTAGCTTAGTTTGTGTTACAGCTGTCTCATGAACTGTTTACTGCTTTTGTATCTGTCCTAAAGTGCATTCTTAACATGCAACATTTTTTAAAACAGTGAAGCAAACATGGGTACTACTCTTATATATCCCAGTCTTAGTCTATGGAGCAATTGCCAATTTTTTAATCTGGATTCCAAAGAAAATTTAAATCAGTAGCCCACGTCTGAAACGGATGTCCCTCAGTGCATGAACAAATCTGGGGGGAAGTGGCTGTGACTGTGTGTTACTGTCATTAGTCCTCGTCATTCCTCTGGAAAGGAACGATCTGTGTTTCTTTGGAGATCCTTTCTGCTAATGTTCTGGTGCTTGCTGCAATTATTCCTCATGACATCAAATCAAATGGTCCTCCTGTTACATCCATGAGCATGCCACCAGCTTTGATAACAATGATGCCAGCTCCTGCCATGTCCCAGCGGTGAATCCCCATTTCGTAATACACATCTGCTCCTCCAGTTGCCACGAGGCACATATTAACAGCTGCCGTGCCAACACCCCAGATCCCATGAACAGGAATGCAAAGAAGTTTCTCCATATTAGAAAGAATGATTTTTATAGTCTCTGGTGTTCTGGAAGAGCCCAGCTCAGTCACCAAGAGTGATTTGGTAATATCTTCCTGTTGTGAAACCTGAAGCTTTTGGCCATTACAAAAGGCACCTTTTCCTTTTCTGCCAGTATACATCTTATCTTCTATCCAACTGTACACAACTCCAAATTCCATCTTTTTATTTACAACAAAGCCAATCGAAACAGGTACAAAAGGAAACCTATGAACAAAGTTGGTGGTTCCATCAATAGGGTCAATGATCCACGTGGGGTTGTCAGTTAAAACACTCTTCTCCCCAGCTGCCACGGACTCCTCACCAATGAAACTGCGGGATGGGTATTTTTCCTTTATAGAAGCAATAAGCATTTTCTCAACTTTTTGGTCAGTAACCATCACCAAATCAGCAGGAGAACTTTTAATCATAGCATTCATTTCATTTTCCAGAGCTTCACAAACTACCTCTCCAGCCTGCCTGGCCAGCATCACTGCATAATCCATGCATTCCTGCCAAGTGTCAGCCATCTCCTCAGGTCCTCAGCTGTCCCAGATAGACATCCCACAGCTGGCGGTATCCACGGCTCAGCGCTTCTGGAGGCAGAGGGGCTGCCCGGGACAGCCATCATGCCTTTTATGTTATGTAGTTTATAGACATGCTGATGGCATCACAGGATGTCTTTTGACAGTTTTGTGCATCTCTCTATTGCATTGCCCACAAATGGTTGGTTTAGAGCTAGGCCCAAGATTCAGTCACTTGCAGCTTGTGTTTTGTTTTGTTTTGTTATGTTTTATTGGCAAGTAGAAGATGTTGGGTGGGGACGCCCAGGATCCCAGGATGTCTGTTCTCTGTGATTGTTCAGGTGGTTGCAAGCTGATTCATCCACTCTAGCCAGTTGCTTTAGCAGCTGCTGACCATCGATTGTAAAATGATAGTGTTCAAATCTTATTATTTCTTCACAATTACCAGGAGGTTAATCTCATTGTCTGCCCTGAGGGACAGAACCTTCAAGAAAGGCAAGCAAATTGATGCTCTTTCCTTCTGTTTGCCAGTGTTCTGAATAATTACTTGTTCTAGTTGGTTCCAAAAGATTTTTCTTTGCTCCCCTTTAAAATTTTTTCACTCTTATTTATGGATTTTTTAAAGATTTATTTATTGTTTTTATTTAAAATCAGATATACAGAGAGGAGGAGAGACAGAGAGGAAGATCTTCCATCAGATGATTCATTCCCCAAGTGACTGCAATGGCCGTTGCTGTGCCGATCTGAAGCAGGGAACCAGGAACCTCTCCTGGGTCTCCCACATGGGTGCAGGGTCCCAAAGCTTTGAGCCATCCTTGACTGCTTTTCCAGGCCACAAGCAGGGAGCTGGATGAGAAGTGGAGCTACCTGGATTAGAACCAGTGCCCATATGGGATCCCGGGGCATTCAAAGCGAGGACTTTAGCTGCTAGGCCATGCCTCCGGGCCCTATTTATGGATTTTTAACACACAATATGCTTCATCAAATACAGTTATCATTCTTCTACTATTCAAACAACTCTGTCTTTCACAAAATCAATAAATAAAAAAGTGAAAGAAAAGGCTTTCATGAGATTTTGTTACGTAAAAGGTACATTGACAATTTGGTGAAGGAAGGGTAGAATAAGATCTTACATTCACCTGTTCACTTCCCAAATGTGTGCACCACCTGGAACTGTCCTGGTCCAAAGCCAGGAGCCAGGAGCTTCTTGCAGGTCTTCCCTTTGGATACAAGACCTAACAGCCTGAATGACCATTCCGTATTTCCCAAGGGCATGGGACTCCAACAGTAGTGCATCAGCTGGGACTCAAACTGACAATCCTATGGGATACCCTGAGAGGTTGTTAAAATTGGCTCTGAGTTCTAAGATATGATCCTCATAGTCTTTAGTAATCTTCCTTATTTACTGTGTGGTGAGTTGTTCTGCAGTGTATATAATTCCTCTCCTGGATCTGAAACCTACAATTTCTGTGAAAACACAAATGTTAATTTACTGACCCTTATCTGAATATTACCAAGTTACTCGTTGTTGTTAGACCATTTCAGTACTTAGAACTAAATGTGACTTGTATTTTTTCTTAACTTGAATTTGTACTGAAATTAGATGGAATTTCATGTTACAGTTTTATTTATCTTCTTTGACTTTGTATTTTGTAACACCAAAAATTTTGACTCTATTATGATTTACTCCCTTTTCATAAAAACAGTAACATATTGAATGTAATAAAACATGAATCACTCAGATGAAAGATCTTCCTCTCTGTCTCTCCTCCTCTATGTATATCTGCCTTTCCAATAAGACAAATAAATCTTTAAAAATAGGAATCAGAATAACACCAGTTTACAATGAATGTTAAAATTAGACGATTTTTCTAAAATCTTTTTATCCTTAGAGACAAATATTTTAGTCACCTGAAATATTTTCTTTCCATTGGGTGCATCAACCAATTCAGCACACAGGATTGTTTTTAACTGTATAAATTTTATTTTTGATAATTTTTACATATTTGATTAGGGTGCAAAGGGTCAAAGGCTAGAGGAAAGTGGATGAGACCATTGTTTTCACATTCTTTTTTTCCTTGCTGTATCTGGGAGAGGGGAAGAGATAAGGGGAGAAGCCACACCCAGTCTCCCAAACATTACACTGTCCCTTACGTGGGGCATGCTCCAAGGATATGCTCAGGTGTTTTTGGTAGTTCTACAGTTCTGTATTGCTGCCAATCTTACTACTCCAATCACGATAAAATCTCTCCAGATTCCACTGGCTGACATAGTCCACCTTAGAATCTCTGTTTGCCCAGATACTCAAACTCCCACGTGCACTTGTGGTGTGACCCACAACCCATCCAGGGCATTCTCTTAGCTCCCCAACCAGGTCCGATCCTAGCCACGGATTTCACATGTGCCAGTGGTGGTTTCAACTCAGCTAGGCATAGCCCCTCCCCTGTCCTGTCCCTTGCCTTCAGATGCTGCAACTTGGCCCTTCTCTGTCTGCTCTCATCCCTGACTCATGCAAATTAGTAGGTGAAGCAGCCCACCCAGGCATGACCTGCATTCCATCTTGGTTTCTGCACTTTCTAGTGGGCTATGGTTTGCTCGGCCCCACCCAGTCTGCCCCCTTCCAAAACCAATTCACACACTTGCCAACAGATGGAGCTACCATGCCCAGTCTGCCCAACACCCAGGTCTGGATCATTTGCTCATCAGCAAAAGCTATGACTCACGAGCAGAGTTTCCCAGGTTTCCCCATTTGGACCACTCCCAGACCCAGATCTCATGCATGTCAGTGGGTCCGTGACCCTTACACAGCATGGCTTGAACCATGCTTCCCGGCCTTTGTATGAGCAGTTGTGGTTCAGCCCACCCCACACCCTGTTACAGTGTGTTCATGCAGGTGCTGCAGCTTGGACCTGCCCTGGTTGTTGTCTGTTCCAGCACTGGTGAGCATTGGTGAGTTACATGGTCACACCTTGCTCAGCCCATCACCATCCTAACTCTCAAGCTAACCAGTGAGATTTATATTTCCATTGGATTGGTCCACATACCCTGAGAGAATCCAGCCCCAAACCTGGTTCTCTTGCATGCTGGTTGGTGTCATGTCCCAGTCTAATGTGAGTCATCTCCCGATCTGACACTCACTGTCAGGTATTGGGATCTAGCCCTGCTAGAGGGGTCCCCAGCCATACCTTGCATGTGCACTGGTGTGTGGTGATCAGCCATGTTCCATGCCAAGAAGCCCAACCCAGGACTTCCATGTGGGTTGGTGAATCAGCCTGACCCGTACAGATTTTTATGTCTCTCCCCTCCAAACCAACAGGTCTCAGTCCCCTCACTTACCTAAAAGTACAGTGTCCCTGACTTTGGGTGTCCTTAAAGATTCATTCCTCACCTACATGTGCAGTGGCTTTATCCATGAATATTCCTAGGCAGTGATTCCATACCCTCAAGACCCCAGAGCTCACTGCCACAAGACAGTTTCCAGCAGGTAAAAAAAAAATCATCCCTGGTCGGTGTTCTGGCTGCCCACAAGCCCAGGACCCTTGCCTCACCCAGCTATGGTTGATGGGGAGCTAGAACCCCCAGCAGGAAGCCTGGGCCAACATGGGTACCCCCAGTCACAGTCATGTGGCTGAGGGATCCAGACACCACACCGTTGCTCAGACTTATCTGGACTCTCAGTACCCAGTTTTTTTCCTTAACTTTCCATTTTTAGGGATTCTCTCCCTTTTTCTCTATTGCTTAATATTTATATTATTCATTTACATATATTCCAAAAGAATATGTTAGAAAGTGAATACAGGGTTCAGTGTTAGAACCTGGAGTTTCGAGATACCACCTGTAGCACTGGCCTCCCACATGAGCAACAATTCAGGTCCTGGTTGCTCCACATTGAATCCAGCTTGCTGATAATGCACCTGGAGAATCAATGGAGAATGGCTCAAATGTTTGGGCCTCAGCCCCTGTCCTCTTGCAAAACCCAGAAGAAACTCCTGGCTTGAGGCCATTAGTACCATGAGATAGCAGACTCTTACTTTCTTAGTACCTCTGCCTTTCAAATAAAATAACTGTATGTCTTTTTTTCTTTAAGTAAATATAGTGTGTATCAAGAGAAGTTTAAATTCCCTGTATGTGTGAGGCCCAGCACGGTAGACTAGTGGCTAAAGTCCTCACCTACCACGCACTGGGCAGCACTGATTCATATCCCAGCTGCTCCACTTCCCATCCTACTCTCTGTTTGTGGCCTGGGAAAGCAGGGAGTAGGATGGACTAATTCCTTGGTAACCTGTATGCACGTGGGAGACCCGAAAGAAGATCCTGGCTCCTCAGCTTGGATTGGCTAAGCTCCAGCTGTGTAGTGCACTTGGGAGTCATCCAGTGGATGGAAGATCTTTCTATTTCAAAGAGAAAATTAAAAACTCTTTAAAAAACCCCTTTGTGTGGGCACAGGCACCTATTAACTTTGTTTCAAAATGAGTGTTATGTTCATAGGTGTCTGGGGATTTGGGCTTGGCCCCAGTGGCAGCTGGCTGAGAGGGCTGTGCAGGGATGTAGAGGTGAACACCCAGGCTGGAGGAGTAAACCTGGGGATTTCTCCCATGTCTGTAGTCCTGGGCAGGATGGGGGCAGGGGTGGGGAGAGCTCTACATTAGCATGGCCTGTTGTGCTTGTAGACTAGGCTTGGAAAACATACTCACATGAGACAGTCCAAGCCTACTGAAATGTTGGCCACACTTCCAAGTGGGTGGCACAAACATTGTCCACTCATTTCGTAACTGGTTAAGAGATCACCAGCGAGGAACATCTTACCTATAGATTCTTGCCCAATATGGAGGGGTCAGGGAAAGCTTAAAAGCCCAAGACCCTTCCTCAAACATTTGGTGTCTCTCCCTCTCTTGCTTTGAGAGACACCTATATTTCTGGCTTTTGTTCAGGAGTGCTTTGCCCTTCTTTCTTTGCCCACTCACCTGGTCCATTCGCAAATAAACTTTTCTGTCTGCAACCATTTCCTGGCTATTTATTTCTATATTAAGGTGAGGAAAGAACCCACTTGGCTTTTC